GGCATACTAGAGACAGAACATAGTTTTATCCTCCATGAATTTGTCTAATCCTCTTTTAAAGCCATCAAGATATGAAACAGATCCCACAATTTAATTATGCACTATGTGGCTAGGTACTTTCTCTCAATGACTCACACCCCTTAATCATTCAACATTCAGCTTCATTGAATGGTCAAGGTTTTAATGTTATTAAAGACAGCAAAAAACTCACTTTTATACCCACTTTCTCTACACCATGCATAGGTCTACAGACCTCTCATATCACTCCTTGCTCATCTTTTCTCTACATTAAGAAGCCACAAATGCTGCAACCTTTCCTCATTGGAAATCAGGGTTGCTCTTTTCGTAAACTTTTCTAGCTCTACAATATCCTTTCTGAGGTGAAACAACCAGAATTGTATACAGTATGCCAAGTACAGTCACACCATATGATTTGTATAACAGCATTATGACATTGTCACTTTTATTTTCAATCCTTTTCCTAAGGATCATTAAAATGGAACTTGACTTTTCACAGCTGCCACTCACAAGGTTGACATTTTCATCAACTGATCCACTATGGCACCAGTTCAGGCCCTATGTGTATATATATGTGATTTAACCCTATGTTCAGGTTTGTTTAAAACCATCTGCTTTCTTCATAAGAAGCTCTTCAAATTAGGGCCAACAGGGCACACATACATCCATAAGCACTGTTGGAAAGGGTCAAGAAATGGTTTAAAAATCTAAAAACACCATCTCTCATTCCAAGAACAATCAGGGTTGAAAGGTTATCAATATTCCAACCCCATGTTTGTATATCCCCATTCTTAACTTATTATACTTCACCTATTCAGTCCACTTTCATTCATGAGTTTTTCATAAGTTTCTGGCAAACTATTTAAGCAATTAAAGCATCTTGAGGTCAAAAAAACAAACAAAATACACACAACATTCCTACAATTTCTATTTACAATAGAAAATTCTAAATAGCTATATTTACCTTTTGAAAGCAGTTTCCTGAAGCGCTGGGTAGTTAGTAGCTGAAGATCAGGGTCCTCGGAGAACAGCATTTCCACCATCTCCCTTGTGATTACACCTTCCTGAAAAAAAGCCCATGTATAACAGTCCTAAGGCTAGCTCTTCAAAGCAATGCCCAAATCTAACAGTTTCTTCAGATGAGAAACTACCAAACTGGACCTAAGAACCATGGCAGGCTTAGATCTTGTAAGGTCCTTTTATTTCATTTTTAATTAATAAACCAGGTCCTCATCTTACACCTCTGCAAAAAAAACTAAAAAGGAACAGCAGAGTAAATTAAGTACTTAAAACAGTTCTTCATTTCTGTACTAGTAAGATTATAGTGGTATAAGCCAAAGCACAATAAATGCCATTAGATGGGAATATGACACAGCTTCTGGAGAATACTTACCCCACCTGTGGTGGAACTGACAAATGAGTCTACATGAGGACTGTCAGACATAGCAGCATCTTCATTAATTAGCTCCACATTTCTTCGTTTAAAGAGCTGAAATAGAAAATGGATATGTATCAAATCAATGGCAAACAAAAAATGCCAAATGTTGGGCATAAGCAAATGCCTTCAGGTCACTTAAGTCCCCTTCCACTCTTTGAAAGCAGGGTTCTATTTGTTCCCCATCAGCATTTAAGATTCATCAGTCATGAAATCCTCTTGTGAGGATTCTTCACTTCTAAGAAATCAAGAGTTCTAGGACACCAAATTCTATAATAGTTGCAGTATGACTGAAGAGGAGTGTGTTGCACTGCTGGCAATAAACAACAATAAACAACCTTTTTCAATCATCCAAAGCACTGTTTACTTCAGCTGCAGTTAGCTTAGCAAGAGACACAGCACATCCTGGCTTGCTACTCGTATCCTCAAGCCTCCACGATCTACTAATTTCAGAGGGTATAATTTGTGGTTTGCCTCCCTGCCCTGCTGCCCCCTCCCAAATCCAATTTGCAGAACCACATTCTTCTGAAACAGATATAGAACAACACTAATTGCAAGGGCACAAAACTCCTCATCAGGAAACACTGGTGCCTTACACAGTGTTCAAGTTGTTGAACACTGTGTAAAGGCACTGTCTAGAAATTTAGTTTATTTGCATTTTACTGAAACTCCATATAAGGGCATTTTTGAGATACAAGTGGGAGATCAAGAACAGTAGTTTTGTTTATTAAAAGGAAAGGCTCTCTAGTACTTCCTCTTATTACCTGTTATGGTAGCATACCAGATCAAAGACAGCCCCAGGTAATGCATGTGTCCACTAATTAAAACTGGAACCCACCCACCTACCTGCAACTTTAAGCCGTCAAGTGGCTAGGTCAATTCAGACCCCAATGTTTTATTATCCATTTTGTTGTTCTGCCAGCTGCCTAGGAACCACATAGCCAGTGATGGCAATGACCAAAGAATCATTTACACAAGAAGTTGAAACTCATCTGTCTCCTACACTCTAGAAAACACAGAGCACAGCCAGAAGTAGAAACTAGCAGCCTGGGCCATATTTCTGGTCAACCTACATGCCCTGCTCACCATCCCACACAGGAGTTACCTGCTGCTCCCGCTTCTGTTTGCGTAGCTGTATCCCTTCTTCTTCTCTCCTCCGGCGCATCTCCTCGGGGTTCAGTGCCTTGTTTTTGTAGCTCTTCATTCTGTAATTGTTCTCTTTTGCTGGGCTCGCCATGGTTTCTAACAGCGGAAGAAAAGAAGAGGTCATTTTTACTCCATTTCTTTGGGCAACCAAAAGAAAACAGGCATTGTCCTCAAAACGTAGGCACTGTTTTTCAACACTTGCCAAATGGTACCAACAATCTATTTGCAGATGAGGAATATATCATGAAGTGAGTCGGGACATTGCATGGATAAGGCTCCCTATGCTCTATTCCAAAGTATGGCTGGGAAAGACTCCTTACTGAAACCCTGGACCACTGCTGCCAATCAGTGTAGACAATACTGGGCTAGATGGAGCAATGGACTGAATCAGGATAGGCAGCTGCCTATGCCTTAAACACCCACAAAACTCTAGCTTTTAAAAAAATTTCTCCTATAGGAAGGTGTACACACACACACACACACACACACACACACACACACACCACAATATCTAAGAGCAATGAGCCCAGAAGAGAAAATGAGTAGCAGTTTCATCTCTTTTTATTTTTATTTTCTTTCCTTTTTTTTTTTTTGCCATATAAACCTGCAGATTTTATTTTCCAGCAGATGGTATGTGTGGGTGAATGAAGATTAGGTGATGTTCTCGGCATGTAATCCACCCCACTACTGTCCATTTAATTAAGTGCCAGATAATGTCAAGATGACATACAGCTTCAAGGACTCTTTCTCTTTGATGGTGGAGCAGGGGTTGATGGAACTGAATCAGCTAGGATTCAGATTTCTTTTTAAAAATATATTTTTAATTTTATTTTATAAACCAACTTTCTACTTCTTTTTCTGTTACACATTGTTATCCATCTTATTTAGTATTTCAGTATTTATAACGGAACTTGTTTATTCTAATAGGAGTTCTGATTTTTCAATATGATTTTGCAAGTATCCTTTAAACACCTTCCAGTCCTTGTCTAACTTCTCTTTTGAGATCCTTCCAATTTCTCCCATTGTTTTGGATATATTGTAATACTCTAATAATTTGGCAAGCCACTCTGTTTTTGTCGGCATTATACAGTGGTGCCTCGCAAGACGAAATTAATTCGTTCCACAAGTCTCTTCGTCTTGCGTTTTTTTCGTCTTGCGATGCACGGTTTCCCATAGGAATGCATTGAAAATCAATTAATGCGTTCCGAGGGAAACCGCCTTCAGACCAGGTCCGGGGACAGTCTGTCCCCGGACCTCTTCTGAAGGCTGGGGGGGGGGGACAAGGGCTTTTCTTCCCACCCCCAGCATTTTAAAAAACCCTGGGACAGCGGAGGACTTCTCCGCTGTCCAAGGCGATTTAAAAGCCCCTGGGAAGGCAGGCAGGGGGGACAAAGACTTTAGCCCCCTGCCCGCCTTCAGAAGGTGTTCCCGCCCCCCCTCCCCACTTCGGAACAGCTTTCCGAAGTGGGGCGGCTGGGGCAGATGTCCCCGCCCCCCCTCCCCGCTTCGGAACAGCTTTCCGAAGTGGGGCGGCTGGGGCAGGTGTCCCCGCCACCCGCCCCGCTTCGGAACAGCTTTCCGAAGTGGGGCGGCTGGGGCAGGTGTCCCCGCCCCCCCTCCCCGCTTCGGAACAGCTTTCCGAAGTGGGGCGGCTGGGGCAGGTGTCCCCGCCCCCCCTCCCCCCTTCGGAACAGCTTTCCGAAGTGGGGCGGCTGGGGCAGGTGTCCCCGCCCCCCCTCCCCACTTCGGAACAGCTTTCCGAAGTGGGGCGGCTGGGGCAGGTGTCCCCGCCCCCCCTCCCCGCTTCGGAACAGCTTTCCGAAGTGGGGCGGCTGGGGCAGGTGTCCCCGCCCCCCTCCCCCCTTCGGAACAGCTTTCCGAAGTGGGGCGGCTGGGGCAGGTGTCCCCGCCCCCCCTCCCCGCTTCGGAACAGCTTTCCGAAGTGGGGCGGCTGGGGCAGATGTCCCCGCCCCCCCTCCCCGCTTCGGAACAGCTTTCCGAAGTGGGGCGGCTGGGGCAGATGTCCCCGCCCCCCCTCCCCGCTTCGGAACAGCTTTCCGAAGTGGGGCGGCTGGGGCAGGTGTCCCCGCCCCCCCTCCCCGCTTCGGAACAGCTTTCCGAAGTGGGGCGGCTGGGGCAGGTGTCCCCGCCCCCCCCTCCCCGCTTCGGAACAGCTTTCCGAAGTGGGGCGGCTGGCGCAGGTGTCCCCGCCCCCCCCTCCCCGCTTCGGAACAGCTTTCCGAAGTGGGGCGGCTGGGGCAGGTGTCCCCGCCCCCCCTCCCCCCTTCGGAACAGCTTTCCGAAGTGGGGCGGCTGGGGCAGATGTCCCCGCCCCCCCTCCCCACTTCGGAACAGCTTTCCGAAGTGGGGTGGCTGGGGCAGGTGTCCCCGCCCCCCCTCCCCACTTCGGAACAGCTTTCCGAAGTGGGGCGGCTGGGGCAGGTGTCCCCACCCCCCCCTTCGGAACAGCGTTTTAAAATGCTGGGGGTCGGGAGCGAAGCGCTGCCGACCCCCAGCATTTTAAAATCTCCCCGTGTCCCGGGAAGATTTTAAAATGCTGGGGGTCGGGCTGCCGACCCCCAGCATTTTAAAACCTTCCCGGGACACGGGGAGATTTTTAAATGCAGGGGGTCGGCAGCGCTTCGCTCCCGACCCCCAGCATTTTAAAACCTTCCCGGGACAGGGGGAGATTTTAAAATGCTGGGGGTCGGCAGCTAACGCTTCGCTCCCGACCCCCAGCATTTTAAAATCTCCCCGGGACAGAGACTTCTCTGCTGTCCCTTGGAGATTTTAAAATGCTGGGGGTCGGCAGCGAACGCTTCGCTCCCGCCCGCCAGCATTTTAAGATCGCCCCGGGCAGGCGGGGGGAAGGCAGGCGGGGGGGAGCAAAGACTTTTGCCCCCCGCCGGCCTTCAGAAGAGGTCCTCTTCTGAAGGCTGGCTGTGGGCGAAAGTCTTTGCTCCCGACCGCCAGCATTTCCCTATGGGCTTTCGTCTTGCGATGCAAGCCCATAGGGAAATTCGTCTTGCGAAGCGCCTCCAAAACAGAAAACCCTTTCGTCTTGCGGGTTTTCCGTCTTGCGAGGCATTCGTCTTGCGGGGTACCACTGTACTACTTTTCCAATTTTTCGCAATCAATAGCCTTGTGGCTACTGTTGCGTATAAATATAATGTATTATCCTCTTCCTTTAAACTTCCTGGCACTATTCCCAATAGAAAACCTTCTGATGTTTTCCTAAATGAATATCTAAACATTTTTTTTCATTTCATTATATACAGTTTCCCAAAATTGTTTGATATTTAAACAATTCCTCCATATATGCATCATAGTGCCTTTTTCTGTGCTGCATCATCAACAGACATCGCCACAGTTTTTATTCATTTGGCTATTCTTTCAGGTGTTAAATACCATCTATGTTGTATTTTAAGATAATTTTCTTTCAATATACAACACGTAGTGAATTTCATATCTTCTTTCCACAATTTCCCCCATTGTTCAAGCATAATATTTTTCCCCAATATCTTGCGCCCATTTAATCATGGATGCTTTAACCAGTTCATCCTTTGTTTCCCACTCTAAGTTCAAATTGTATAATTTAGATTTTAAATTTGTTTTCTTGTATTAAATATTTATCAAATTTAGAAATTTCTTTTTCAAATCTTATCTTTTTGCCTTTCGCTAATCTATACTTAATTTGAATATATTGGAACCAATCACTAATATGAACTTTAATTTCTGTAAAGTCCTTTAATGCCAATTCTCCATTTTCTTCCTCTAATACAGTTTTATAAGTGGCCCAGTTCTCTTTCATATTTAATTTTTTCACTGCAACAATTTCTGCCGGCGATGCCCACCATGGAGTTTTTGGCTCTAGGAGTCTTTTATATTTCTCCCATATTTCATATATAGACTTTCTGATTATATGCCCTAGGAAGCCTTTATGTACTTTAACTTTCTCATCTATCGTATCTACAACCTCTAAATCCAATTCATCCGAATCGTCTAGTTTAATCCATTCTTTTAACCAGGTCAAACCCACTGCATCATAGTATAACTCCAAGTCAGGGAGGCCAAATCCTCCTCTTTCCTTCTTATCTATCATTATTTTATGTTTTATTCTCGGGGGGTTTTCCTGACCACCCGAATTTGGCCAAATCTCTTTTCTAATTATTAAAGCATTTTTCTCCTCCTAGTATTGGGATACTTTGAAATAAAAACATCATCCTTGGTAATATGTTCATTTTTATTACTGATATTTTCCCTAATAAGGATAAACTTAGTTTTCCCCATACTTGCAAATCATTTTTTATTTCTTTCCATGTTTTTCCATAATTCTCATTACTTTACTCCATAGTATTTGTTGTTAAATTAATTCCAATATACCTTATTTTCTTTTTAATTTCCAATCCAATTTCTTGTAATTTCACTTTATCTTTTTCTTCCATATTTTTGTTTTCCCATAATTTAATTTGAATCGTGCTAATCTGCCATATTAGTTTATACATTCCAATATTCTGGGTGTGCATTGTAGGGGATTTTCTGTTGTGATCATGACATCGTCTGCGAAAGCTCTTAACTTCTATCTTTTTTTCACCAACTGCTATTCCTCTTATTTTCTTTAATAGAACCTCTAATACTATTATAAACAACATTGGGGATAGGGGGCATCCTTGTCTTGTACCTTTGAATACACTAATTTCTTCTCCAAACTCTCCATTAAAAATAATTTTTGCCTTCTGTTGGTTATATATTGCATTTATGCCTTTTTGGAATTTTTCGCCTAGACTCAATTCTTTTAATAGTTTGAGTAGCAGTTCATTTCAATCTAAAAGGATTATAAGGTATCTGACATAAATGGTTAAAATGATTAGCTGCTCAGCTGCCTAAAAGTCCACCTCTGTTCCAAAAGCCAAGCTCCCTGCAGAGAACACCCTAGAAGCTCTGCTCTTAGAGTATAAGTCCAGGAGAACTTCTCCAACACCAAACAGGAATGCTCTCAAAACCCAAGTTGGTCAAACATTCCACCTTTGGCCAGGTACAGAACCTGCAGAGTGCGCCAGATTGTTTCTTCAATCTTATGCTACTGCAGGTAGCAG